TCGGAGCTTAGGTGCATGTTCATCGATTGTTACTGAAACCCAGATACAGTCGGTTCACTCCCTTCAGTTACCATGGTGAGGGTTCTGCTATGTTTAGCATTCGTCTTTGTTTATGAAGCATTAGACAGATAAAAGACCGAAAGGGGATTTTCTAGGTTTTTCAGTAAGCACATAACCTTAGAGGTAAATAACACGCAACACTCGACATGCATTCTAACGAAAACGACCGGCGCCAATGCTCGGTGAGTTGAGCTAATAGAATATTGTTCCTACGCGGTGCGAAAACCGTGAGTTTCATAGGAACCGATGTCAGAATACTCGCAGATTTGCCCCCGAGCAGAATCTATCCCAATTCAACGGTCATTCCCTTATAAGTACCAAGTGAGTATCAAGTTAGATTTTTCGAACGACGGTAATATTTGTTCAGCCAAAGAACTGACACAAGACATCGTCAGACCCGACAGCGTGGTCTTCTTGGCGAGACACATCCTGCTTCTTTTGAGGTAAACATGTTAGACAGAAAGTACTCGAATCATCAATACTAGTCTAAATAGGGTTTCATCAGAACACATATTTGGGCAGCAAGTGGCCTCTCTACTGGTACCTTCTGTCGAAAGTATCCTGAGAGTCGACTAGAGTAACTAATCCATGTATCATAATGCAAAACGCACCTACGCACGCTTATAGTTGCAGCGCTCCGGGAAATTTACTTTAGGCCACGCGCCCAAGCAAGTCGGACGCACATGAGCGTGCGTCCGTCCGGTTGCTGTGGCAGTTCGTGTGCATGTGTCATTTAACATTCGATCGCCTTCACATAGGAGGTGGAAGATGTGGAGCAATTTGTTCGGTTGGGCTAAAATCAGCTGACCTGGTGAACACAGCCGGCGCATGTGCGTTCAACTGGTCAGCTAGATTTAACGGTAGCACACGCGTGTATGTGCGTGCGGTGTCCTGAGAGAAAGTAGTTCTAGTTAGCTGTATGTAGATTGTATAACAAGTCCGAAGGCGAAAGCCAGAAAGCATGGCAACCTACCCGTTTGCACCAAACTTCACCAAACACATCTGCTACATGTAAAATGGACCGGTCATAATTGGCATTCTGCGCTTCCGATGAATTAGTGCTTATCCGGAGCAGCTGTTTCATCATCTTGTTCAAACCACTCGGGGCGTAGTGAACAAAACCCTTATTAGCTTGTCGCTCCCCATGTCACACTTTTATTTAAGTACCGATCTACACATATCACCTAAGAGTACATTAGGCTTTGCGCGACAAAAGGTGATCTACCTTGCCTTAGGTAACAAGATGGTGCATAACTTTCCCAAACAGTGAGGGAAAGAGCCGAATCTTGAGTGAACTGGGTTTGAGTTCGTTACAAAAGTGTGACGAGGCAGCGAAACAGGCTTTGTTTTCCAAAAAAAGATTGCAAGGTTGAAAAATATTGAGTCGGTGAATTAACTTTCTTGCTTATGTTCGGATAAACGAACCAAAGACATGTCACTGCGGGGGGATTGGCCTCAATCTAGGCTGAGGCTTCGGTAGAGCTTTAATTTACGTTGTGTACCTCAGTCATAACGACGGATTATACTTAACTAAGCGTTATACTTCGTTGATGATTTAGTCGGCATTTTAAAATCTTCGCACCTTTTTTCGGACAAGTTCGAGTAAAAAGTGCTTCCTGATGGGCGATCATGAGCGTTCAAGCAATCCAACCTAGAAAAACCCACTGATATGTAATCTTTTAAATTGTGCCAGCTCTAAACGTCCAGATTATAAAAATGAGCTATGAGCTATACATGAAAACCTTAGGGTTTATCTTCGAGAAAAGAAAGCTTTCTAAGTATCTTCGTAGCATGCCACGTGCTTCCCGTGCAATTTTCGGGGATACAATTGCTTGGAACCACCCAGAAGACATCCTGCTGTTTAAGAGTGACTTCACATCATCCAAAAGTAAGCATTTCAACGCCAACTATTCAATTTAACGCTTTAGTTTTATCTGTCTACAACTATATCATATTGTGTATTTCATGAACATGTCCTGTGATTCATCTACAGACGCGTACACTGAACTCGAGATGGCTGAGTGATTGAAGCGCATAATTACTGACCTGAAGGCCCAAGGTTCGAATCCAACCTTAGCATCTCGACTGCTGTTATTGCTGCGGCTTGGGTAGCTGGGCAATATCTCAGCCCTCGTGCTTTCTTTTGGGTGGCATGGCAGCTATTTACCTAGATCACATCTGAACGAATATTGCGTCCGGCACAGGTCGGTTCTGCAGGCCGTTCGGGTTCTGCGCGACTTGGATCACAGTCTCAGTGTAGAGTAGCTGCACAGCCCGTGAGTGGTGTGAGATCGATGGTTAGAGTGTAGCAAAGTACGGTTTGCCAGGTAATTCCAGTGCTCACTAAGTAGGACCGTTTTTTTCTTAAAATGCCGAAACGCACCTTCCGTTCCTTTTCGTATTTTTGCGACGCTCATTTGAATCTAACCCTCTAGCATGGCAATTGTTTACACATCAGATGATAGGATCAAACGCATCGTCATCGTACTGGTCGACTGATGCAGAGAAGGAAGTGGGGAAAGTGTCGACCAGGGAAGTTCTTGGATGGGACTGACGACTGTTAGTTGGTTGCTTCTCTTACAGTTAGCTACTAATTACTTTGTTACCCATCGTATCACTCATCACCGATAAAAGTGGTGAGTGTACCGATGGTTAGTGTCGTGGAGCTACACCCCACTATAACCGTTTATTGCGAGGTTCATCTTATGTGCATACGACGTGTTTCGATCTCAACAACAAATAAATCACCCATTCAAAACATAGAAGAGGCAAACGGTTAAACCGTCACTGAACAGTCTAAGTTAAGATTCGAAACCAATCTGTCATTCTACGTCATCTGAGTGCAGATATCTTGTACTTGTTTACGAATATGAGGTCCACCTACTCATAAGAACTTATTCCTTTCCAAATGTGTTTGTCACTTGAGCTGCGTCCAGCTCAACCTGCACCGAAACAGAATGCCTAATTCTTGAACACAAATCAATATTCTGCCTTCATAGTTCCTGATAAACGGACGTAAGCATGTAAACATTATGATCCCTGGATAGAAGCAAAGCGTTCCAAATGTACGCCTAGTTAGGCGTTTTGATTGTACAAGTTCCAGTGTGTGCGCTGGTATAAGCAATACAGTTAGCATGTGGCCACGAGAACGTGGAAAACGTGACTAGACAGAAACCCATCTTCGAATATTCCGCGCAAGCCCATCGTTGCCATAACCCAGATCAAAGTCGCGAAAGTGCGGTGCTTCAGACGATAGATGAAGGTGACTATGTTGGACTATTTCTGGAGATTCAAAGACTTTTCAAAAGACCTAATATGGATTTCATAACGTGGGTTGGAATATAGTCTTTGACCTTATTCTCAAAGATCATGAAAACTGACAACAAACTGACCATTCTACAAGGGGACCCTTCAAAGATGTGGCTTTTGAGGTTCCACTGTAAAAAGGGACATTTAGTTAGGACTGCAGTCCTGAATTTTCGAAAGTAACTAAACAACCTGATCAAATCAATTATTAGACGTAAGAAGAAAGGCAATTGCAAACCACGTGTTGTGCTGAAAAATCTTAGTGAACAAAAAGCTTCAGAGAGGCCTGATCCGAAGGTTTTCCGCCTTTATTGAGAGGTGAGTGCGGAGAGACCGCTCACTTATAGATTACACAGACGGTTCGAGAAAATCGGCAACTGATGTTTACAAGGCATGAGGCTCCTTTCGACCGCCTGTAATGCTCCATGGTAAACATTCTGTGTGCCGTTTCAATTGGTTACATTCTGGTTTGTGCATGGAAGTAAGTTTGGAGAATGTGATCAATGTATGCTGCTAATTCGAGGTCCGTTTCGGTTTGTCGAATGAACGAGGTTTACATCGATATCCTGGTTAGTGGCAGTCAAACCACAATGTGAGATGCAACGAACAGCTTTCTGTCATTGTGTCCAACTTATACGCTCCTGTTATTAACCTGGACACGCTTCGCCCCAAATTAGTCGATCAAAATCCAGTGATATTGTGGAGGAAAACCCCGAGTGTTCACTGCTACAGGTTTGGAAGTAACCATTGTACCTGGAAATTTGTTTTTAAATATTTTTACAGATAACAGTATTTTGAGAGTGATGGTGCTCTACAAGTGAAAGCACCTGATCAGAGTTGTTAAATTGCCCATGGTAAGGAGAAAGCACACAAGTTAAAGCGAGTAATAAAAAAATTTTGGTGGTTCAGAGGTTTCTCCGCTGGTATCCGCGGCCTCAAGCTCACATTCCTCAGAGGCATGTTGGGAAGCAGTGAGTGGATGAATAAAGTCTATTAGCCCGTATTCACACCATGCATATCCTCGCTTCGTCACGTGACTAAAAACACTTACATCCATATTACGTTGATCCGGTCAACGATCTTATAGCCAATTCATACAGGAACAAATAAAATGCGGCAGAGTTGGATGAGGAAACCAGCCTCTGGATAGCCACGGAGTTCAAGATGTCATATACTGTTAGCCAAACTGCTCAAGTGGACAAGGAAGAACAATTCAGATAATATCAAACTGGTATTTTTTAACTCAAATGGTAGCGGAAATTTCGGAAACCTGCTCCGAATAGATACGTGAGCATTGGCAATTAACGAACACTAATCTCATAGACCTCATAGATCTCCCGATTTCAGAAATTCTGTGGTATATAATCAGACCCGGTGTCCTGTGCAGTGGGCCACCTCTCCAATTCCATGGTCGGCAATTCATTCTTGAACTATTGAAGATACTATACATTTATCCCTAGACTTCCTTAGTCCTACCGTGTGTGATGCTACCAGTTTAGAGTTTATAACCTGAGCTGCCACCCCCCAATTATGCAACGATGATGTCTCAAGGGTGACACCTACAGCGGATTTCAAAGTTTGCAAATCTTGGAAGTAAAAGAGTGAATAACAATGAAAATAAGATTAATACTAACCGAATTCTATTTCGAATTCTTTTGGGGCATTGGCCTTCTCTTGCGTGGTCGAATCACCAGGAGGGTTGGGAGCAGCACATGTCCCGGAACTGGAAGCGCTCAAGCCCGTTTGTACACGGTTCAGTACCGTAGAACGCTGAGGGATAAACAGGGTGCAACAATACAGATACTTTTCATTATGAGCAAAGATTCTCACATTATTTCGTGCAAAATAATGAAATTTGATGGCGTGCACAAAATTAAGTGGTGACCACTGTTCTACTTAGCTGTTGATCCACGAAAAGCAAACGCCTATCAACATCTATTAACAATTGCAGATTAAAGGTCGTTTGGTCCACTTTTGAAGACAATGCTCTTGTCAATCCGCGGTAACCTAAAGTCGGTATACCACAGGACCAAAGGTTTTCCAGAGCCTTCAACGAAGGATGAACAATCAATTTGAATGTCGTGCCTGGCAAACGAAGACCACTTAGTTTGGCAAGCCCACACACAGAGGAAATGTGTAACAACCACCCGTCAGTAGTCAGAGAAGAAAATAGTCGGATGTTATGAATGCTGTTACATTTTCAAGCTTTAAAGCCACCTTGTTTGCTACTGAGCGAGTAATTTACTCGCCGGATATCAAAAATTTGATTCCAACAAAATCAGTATTCCCCAAACCCGGTTACAGCTTACTACCGAAGTCACGGCATGAGGAGACTGACTGAACTTATCTTTCACACACGAGGGCAATATGTTGATAAGATCACAAGAAAAGCGTCATTTTGTTTAAAATGAACCTTCACCGGCAGTAAGGATTGAGTGGATTGCCAGAGGCACCCGTCAGCCGTTTTTGAAGTTACAAAGTGTCAGAGAGAATACAGTACCAGTTTCGATAAGTGGTACCTTCCTACCTAAACAGCCCCTTTGTTATATGCTAGTGTTTTTGAATTGTACTTCCTAATGTCTCTCCGTCGCTGCTTGATCCAAGCTCGACCAAGCAGAGGGGCTATGATTTTATCACTGAAAACAACGCCCTGATTCTTAAAGATGTAAATACACTGCACGTTTACGAAAAACTCCGCATATGGCTTCATCGTTTTTCCTCTCTCCGTTCTGGGTTTCATTGATTTCACGCGTACCCCTTCTCTGACATCATGTGGTCCGTTTTAAGTCACGTCAAACCTGCACTTGTTAGGATGCATATAAGTGACACGATCCTTTTAATGCTTAAGTTTTTCACCCAACCAAGAACAATATGTAACAGTTGAATTCCGATCGGACATTTCGCACATAACCATTTTTTGTCCGTTTTCAAACTCGTAAAGACTTTGTTAGCTGATGTTGTGACCACAATATAAAGTGATCGGTTGACCAAAACAAACGCACTAGCTGAACCGTTTCTTTCTCGGATTACGTTTGAAAGCAATGGACTACCAATTCTTATCAACTTCCTCTTTAAAAAATGTGATTGCTATATCGCGAATACGCAGGCGTTGACTACACACAAAAACGTTAAACATGTTGGAAGTTCAGGAAACATCACAGCCTTGGTGAAGAAGGGGCAGTTTACGGGTGAGGGAGAGTAGGATAGAGACATTCTACTCCCTTGTAGGTGAAACCAGAAAAAGGATAGCCAGAAGATACAGTACAAAATGACACCCGAGAGCTAGACTTATGCAAATGAACGCAGCCCCACCTTCAAGATTTAGGTATTTTGTTGCAAAATCAGGAAGGCAAAGCGGCTTCGCACAATAGTCCAGGAAATATGGACAAAACGCTCATCATCATCTACTTGCGTCTCACATAATCGAACGGATCAAAAAGTTGGGACTGTGTGCCGGGAGAATGCGAAGGCGCTGTGGTTTACGGTCTCGCCGATAACTCCTCAGTCCCGCTGCTCTTTTCACTGCTCACATTAAGCCCAAAAGGTGCGGTATGTAGCAAAAATAGAATCACCCATAGAACAGGGTTTTTGGCAAACACTGGAAAATACAAACATCGCCAAACCCAAAATCCCCCCTAAAAACGTTGGAATTACACTACATGATTAATCATTGTCCGAATAGAATCACCATAGAACAGGGTTTTTGGCAAACACTGGAAAATACAAACATCGCCAAACCCAAAATTCCCCCTAAAAACGTTGGAAGTACACTACCTGATTAATCATTGTCCGATTCTGCGGCAAACAAAATTATTCTATTTGTCGGTCTGGCTGGAGTGTTCTAAAACCCGTCTACTCTGTGCGATGGGATTTCAAACATTAAACACAAATCTATACATACACACATACGAACAACAGTAAGAATACGTATACGCATGATCAATTTCCTGAATCTGAAATCAACAAACGATGTACCAATTTCCATCCTACCCAGTCGCGTTTGATGACAGCTTTTTCCGCCATCAATAGAGCACAAACAGGCTACTTGCAACGGAAACCAGGCAGAATAATTAAAAGCCCAACCTCATAGCCATACGGAGACAATTCTGACGAAGAGTGGCACATTTTTGGGTAACTTCTCGAACACAACGACAACGTTTCGTAAGCGGACAAAGAGACTGCTCGAATTTTCGTCAGTTAACTGAGGATTAAATTCCTTTATTCCATGGGTGCGGTCTAATTTACTGCGTAAATTCTTTCTGGAAGAGGGACAGACAATTGTGAAGATTTTACTGCTCGACAAGTACACGTGATGCAACATTTCTATAGATCTTTGGGTTTGTGTATATTTTAATAGAGTTTCTACTTCAAAGACGTTTTGTGGTGTCCAGAAAACCCAGTTGCTTTCATGATTGGGAAACAAAGTTTGCGAAAATGTACCACGTGAACGTTATCGGAAAAAGGTACAACTTGGTGACAGAATACATTAGTCTTTTTGTCTGCGGAGTGAAAATGTTATTCGTTAAAATATCAGTGGCATTCCCAGTCAGTTTTGTTCAACTGTCACTTCTTTCCCGTGGATTTTTCCGAAGCTTTACTAGGAAGATTGACAACAAAAATAACGTTCGGTCGTTTAGACCGAAAGTTTTGTAGAATTATAGAAATGGTGTTTGTACTTCTTGTCTACACTGTGATATTTTTGTCACATTGTGTTTCCTCAAGTCTCAGGTTAATTTTAGAAACTGTTGACCAATGAAACGGAATAAATTAACTAATCACGAGCGGTCACTCAGCTAAAATGAATGTCCAAACAAATAAGGCTGACCAGCGAAATTAATTCTGCAGCTGGTTGACGTGCCACAACCAGAAAATCACCTTCCACTGTCCGCTAGAAGAAAATTTAATTTTTTTATTTCGGAAACTCAGACAAATGTCGGGGAAACAGTGCCTCAGTCTGACAAACCATTGTCAACAATCGTATTCCACTCAGATGCTTCATGTGTGTTTATTTCCGATAAAGTGTACGGATGTTTTAGCCGGTCAGCTTCAACTACCTTATGAGTAGTGCATTACATCCACACAATGTATTACGGCATTTCGAATAGTGTACCAACTGAAACATGAGACCGTCTTGTTCAGCACATTCAGCTGCCTAAGAACACCATAAACGGGTGGTTTGGCAAGGTTCCAGGTGAGTTTGTCATCAACATAAATTTGATATGCAAAAAGTATATTTGTTAAAAACTTCATAGGCACTTCGAAGGGTCAGATAATTTTATTGTACTCACAAAATTTAGAGTGAAATCACTATACGTATCAAATAATCTGGCTCAGGAATTTTCGATTTATCGAGTAGAATTTTCCGCACGACCAGGTTGAATGTCTACACCAAGAAAAGCTCTGAAACACTTCGCATAAAAAGTTAAGTGAAGAAAAGTGAGAGCTTGTTATCCAAGCTTTCCTCTTGCCATTTTGACAGGTTGTTTGGAACTCTGTTCTGTGTGTTTTATGCGCAACGCATCACTGAAAGTATTTTCGTTAAAGCAATAATCCCCCTGTGCGAGAAGACATACGCCTGAAAAAAAGACATGAAAAAGTCTAGCAGGTGGGATAACGATCCGAGCTGTAACAAATGGAAACAACGTGATTGTTCAAAAATCACCACCGGGATTACTGATCCCAAAATGAGCGGTCCCGTTTTGGTGTTCAGAAAACCTAGTGGCGATCTCCAAAGCGAGATCCCCCAAAGAAAAGCTTGAGTGTGAAAGCGCTTTGAACTTCTAGGTGTAAACAAATGACAATAGCGGATGCTTTTAGGTGGAGGACTCACTGGAAGCGACATCACAATGTTTCAAGAAATTCGGTGTGAACTGCACCATAATTATGCCAGTGAAAAGCTTCAGACAATGTTTGCTAGTGTCACGTAAGTAGGTCCTGAATTTTTCGAAATTCTTCTTGACAGTTAACGGTGGATAAGTCAGCCTCCTCAACAGATGCTGTTTCACAGAGCACAAAGCCTGATCTTTGTTGGTGATACTGCTAACGTCGTTCGTATTCCGGATATGCCCTGCTTCCATCCAACTGGCATGTCGTTGATAATGAGTGGGAATAAAGTACTTCAAAGTGCGTTTTGACTACTGGCCGAAAACCATCGGTTTGTCTTGAATATCCAAGTTTTTTCGCTGAAGCTCAGCCACTTTAAACAAATCGGGTTCTCTCTAGTCTAATAATTTCCAAATCCAAAGAAAGCTGAAGCACTAAAATACGGTCAGCAACAACGTGAGCAAAGACCAGCGATGAAAGTCAAGTACAGTGATTAACCTACTCCTAGTGTAGGAAGGAATTTCGCACCTTGTATCTTGTGCACTATTAACTGGCAAACCAATTGAGAGTTGGACCGCTTCAGGAGGAAAAGGCACGTCCTTTGTTAGATTCAATGTGTCTTTTAAGGAAACATTGGGGAGATTGCACCATATTTCACCAGGACATTTCGATGGAGAAACAATAGACTGACCAGGTTTGTCGTGGTTTTATTCTCGCGCAATTTTTGATTAGCTTCAATATGTCGAAGTAATTTATTTAGTCTTCAGCTTGACCGAACATGATTTCAGTAAGCTCTTGAAAAAGGGAAGTGACGCGTACCGTTTTACGTTAAACATGACTTCATTATTTACTGCATGAAAAAGAGGCATCACACTGATGACTGATTGGGGACGACTCGAGATGCCAACTTACAAGTCAGATCCATAATTTCAGAATTAACTGACAAG